TCCCGAGTAGCTGGGACTACAGGCGCCTGCCGCCACACCCAGCGAATTTTTTGTATTTTTAGTAGAGATAGGGTTTAACCATGTTAGCCAGGATGGTCTTGATCTCCTGACCTCATGATCTGCCTGCCTCGGCCTCCCAAAGTGCTGGGATTACAGGTGTGAGCCACCGTGCCCAGTCTAAACTGTACATTTAACATGAGTGATTTTTATAGTATGTAAATTATACCTCTATAAGGCTCTTAAAAAAGATCTTAACAGATAAACAGCCATTCACAGGGGCTTTTAAGGGGTCCCACACCATGAAGGCATGGACAATGTAAAGCTTATATGGTAGAGGGGTGCTCATGCTGGCATCCTTGACTCTGTTATTCATTTATGCTTTGGGGCCTGGGATGCCAGTAGAGTCTTCCACCCTAAAATCAGTGGAGTGACTGCTACTTGGCTCATCACCATCCCATTTGCCTCAAAGTGTCAACTGGCAGAGCTGAAGTGCCTGCAATCTGGGGCTTAAGTGCAGGTACTTTAGGTAACACATAGTATTTTTCCATAGCAAACCCCTCACATGGTCTAGCCTGACCAAGCCCAGGTTGGACGTAGCAGACATTCTGAAAACCGAATTCAGGAACAATCAAATGAACAAGTAAGAGTCAGGCTGATACTGACAGCCTAGAGACTTTAGGCCATTTGAAAAAGAGAGAAGAAAAGGACTAGGTATAGAGCCTCTGTTGTAACAAAAATAAGCACATCTGCTAAGCATACTGCTAAAAGATATTTTGAAGGGGGTGTGATACGTACTTCAGAAACACCCACTGGAAGCACCTACTGATATCCAATGATAGATATTCTAAATGTAATTCATTCTTACTGAGTCATTAGAGGAAGCCAATGACATTTCAAATTGCAAACCAAATTTAAATTGCCTTCCCTCCTTCATTTTAACATAGTTATGACTGAATTTCTTTATAAAGGTTAAGTATTCCTAACAACTGTACTGAAGGAGTGATGTTTTCTATCACATTCATGGAAGTTCTCCATTTTAATTCTGCAAATCTTAATAAACAAGTATCTGATCTCAGAGTAATTGTTTCTAAATTTGCACATCTCCCATCAGCTACCATACTCTAAACATCTGCAATCTAGACTTCATTATTTGAGGATTTATGACTGAAGGGCTCCACCATGGAAAATATTTATTAAAATCATCCACTGGGTAAAATAAGGGCAATTTTGGAGGCAAAACCAAAAAACACTTTCTAAGCACTCTCTATACTACTTTATATTCAAACAATATGCTAATTATCAGAAATCTTACTTAAAAACAGTTTAATTTGAAATGACTGAAAATGGTTTCTTTTCATAACTAATTCTATAATTTCTAATTAGCTTTCATTCACATGGATAAACAACCTCTTTTTATACCCTTTAAAATAGTGGCTCTCAAACTTTTTGATCACAGGACCCCCTTAAACTCATAAATAAATTATTGATGCACCAGACAGCCTGACCCTGACCCAAAGTAAATTCCCAGGAGTCGTCTTTCCTGGGTTTTGAATTTGCCGTAACAGGCGTAAACATTCTAGCAGCAGTTTGGTGATCATGTATGATACTGCAAACAGGACCAAAAAAATTATTGAGGACCTCAAAGACCTTTACTTACCGTAGGTTACATCTATATTTTCTTTATTGGAAATTAAAACTGAGAAAATTTTAAAATATTACTTCATTTTAAGAAATAATAAGCTAACAGGCCGGCGCAGTTGCTCACGCCTGTAATTCCCAGCACTTTGGGAGGCTGAGACAGGTGGATCACCTGAGGTCAGGAGTTCGAGACCAGCCTCGCCAACATGTTGAAACCCCGTCTCTATGAAAAATACAAAAATTAGCTGGGCATGTAATCCCAGCTACTTGGGAGGCTGAGGCAAGAGAATCATTTGAACCTGGGAGGTGGAGGTTGCAGTGAGCTGAGATCGTGCCATCGCACTCCAGCCTAGGGGACAACAGTGAGACTTCATCTCAAACAAAAAAAAAGAAATAATAAGCTAATTACATGTTGATACACATTTTAAAAAAGCATTTACCATGCCTGTATTTTTAAAAAATTAATGAGACAGGTAGTTCTGCTTTACATTATGTGACAGACTCCTCAGATAATAGTGGTCATTTTCCTTTGATACTACATCAAAAGTCAACACGGAGTAGTAGTTTCTTAATAGTAGGCTGGAATGTGGAATCTGAAAGCATCGCAATGAATTTTTCCAACTCTGTTACATTTAAATCCATTGCTCTAACACTGTATCAGATTACATTTGCCAATATCATGGTGGATCTTATCAGAAAAGTATTTAAGTATTGAGTAGTTCACTAAGGTAGACACAAATTTCCCAATATTCTAATTTTCATTTGAAAGCCCAAATTTTATGCCAGGCGCGGTGGCTCAAGCCTGTAATCCCAGCACTTTGGGAGGCCAAGACGGGCGGATCACGAGGTCAGGAGATCGAGACCATCCTGGCTAACAGGGTGAAACCCCGTTTCTACTAAAAATTACAAAAAACCAGCCGGGCCAAGAGGCGGGCGCCTGTAGTCCCATCTACTCAGGAGGCTGAGGCAGGAGAATGGCGTAAACCCGGGAGGCGGAGCTCGCAGTGAGCTGAGATCCAGCCACTGCACTCCAGCCTGGGAGACAGAGCAAGACTCCGTCTCAAAAAAAAAAAAAAAGAAAGCCCAAATTTTATCTTTAGCAACAAATAATGTCATTTGTTTTCCTTGATGTGATAGACTCGTGTTCATTTTCAATGTGTACTCTAGGTTGTAATAAAATTCATGAAGGACTTTTTTTTTCAACTGCATGAATTTTAGCAGCAGAGCCACTGCTCTGATTCATACTAAAGCAGTTCTATCCCACTGCTTGTGTATCATCAGTGTGAATATAAGCAGAATGCAAAAGGCAAATCATGTCTTGGTATTACAACAAAAATAGTTTTGACCTTGTCAAGCCATTAAAATGGTATCAAGGAACTCCCTAGGGGTTCACAGGCCACATTTTGAAAGCTACTCTGTTACCATATAACTGATCTCCAACCACCAGCCAAATTACTAGAAGGCAGCCACCAATTCAGAAAAGGAAAATGTGACTGTGATCGCTTTTTCAGGTTGTCCATGTGTATTACTGACCCAACATCCATTATTATAAGTAGAAGGCTACATCTACTATCCAAATTTATTTTTTTGGAACAGGGTCTTGCTCTGTTACTTACGCGAGAGTGCAGGGGCACAATCATAGCTCAGTGCAGCCTCGACTTCCTGGGCTCAAGCTATCCTCCCACCTCAGCCTCCTGAGTAGCTCAGACTACAGGTGTGTACCACCACATCTGGCTAATTTTGTATTTTTCATAGACAGGGTTTCGCTATTTGGCGCAGGCTGGTCTCAAACTCCTGAGCTCATGTAATAACCCTGCCTCAGCCTCCCAAAGTGCTGGGATTACAGGCGTGAGCTACTGTGCCTGGCCCACTAACCAAATTTCAATATGGAAGCACAAAATGATAAAAGATACAAAACAAGCTAATTTAATATGCAAATTTCCTTCCAAGGAACCTAAAACATAAATTTTTCTTTAATTCATCCATTTGTTCTCACATCTGTTGGGCTTTTTTGTGTAGGGTTCTTGCTTGGTATAGAGATACGAAGAGGCTAAGGTTGACAGATCCTGTGGTCAGGGTCCACAAGGGATTAAGCAACAAGGAAAGACAGCAGAGACACTGAAGTCGCACAGATCTGATGTCAAGCTCCAGGTACCCAACCCACAAGCCTGTCTCTGGTGATCTGTGAGCCTTTTTTCCTAGGTGGAGCTGAGGCAAATTCCACCTAAACCTTGGAGGATGAAATAAAATGCACGTAAAGCATTCAGCACAGTTCCTAGCACAAAGCAAGCATATAAATGGAAGCCACTATATGAATAAGGCCCCCTGTGGCAGAGTCCAGAGGAAGGGGGACACATCCAAACAATCATGACACAGCGTGGGAAGTGATGACCAAATGCAATGGGAGTAGAAGAGAAATCAATGGTCTGCTTACATGGGGAAGGTTCCATTATAGTGGAGCTATTGTCTCACAGAAGAGGAGCTGGCCCAGTGGTACAGGCAGAAAGGAGCAGAAAGTCCATCTAGACAAACAGAAGGCGGAGCATAGACTGGGCAGGTGGGGCAGCAGGGGTTTGGCAGGATACAAGAGGAAGCTACCCTGGAACCATGTCGCTAAGGGCCTTTAATGCCATGCTAAGGAGCAGAAACATTTACAATAGTTTAAAAAAAAAATGTGTGTAAAGGCTGAGGAATCATAAACTCGCAGTGCTAGCAGGTTATCTGGTCTACTGGTGCGCCTAATGCCTCAGCACACACACATTATCCTTATGCCCATTCTGACCCATTAGCATTCCCCTGGCCCAAGCCTCACTAGTGCCGAAGGAGTGGCAAAGCTCCTCTCAGAGGCTCTGGAACATCAGCAAAGCTGCAGCAGCCAGGGGAATTTGCCCATCATTTTAAAGCACAAATAAAGTATATACTGGGCAAAGCAATTCTATTTCCTCTCTGATGCTTACAAAATCTTGAAGCGTGTAACTTTATCTTCATCCCAGCTCCGGGTCCTGCACACCAATGGAATTTATAGATTGCTCTGACTAATGGAAAAGAAACAGAAAGAGGGTACAATGCCTCACATTTTCAATTATTACTCCAGCCATCTGTAAGTGAAGTCCAAAGAGGCTGCTTGTCCCTCCTGCCCTTTGGCAGGGACAGAGAATGTCACCCAGGTGTGCCATGTGGATGCACAAGGCCGGCATGAGGACCATTCACAGGTGTGAGTCCGTGCTCCCTTGCCAATTGTGCAGAAGCACATGAAGGTGCACTCAGTGTAAAACCACAGCCAGCTGTGCTGCACTGTGCTCACTTAAGAGATGTGACCATTCAGACAAAAACCACGGAAATCACAGCAATGTCTTACTCACCCAGAATTTTACGAGGAAGAAGGCATTTTGAGGGCCCTTTCCAAACAGTTCCTTTAAGCCACCTTTCTTTTCAGGAAATTTGTCATAAATCTGACGAATGTCCACTGATTCAAGCAACGGGTCACTGTAAGAATGGTTGGCATGCCCAATGTGCACGAAGAGGTGTTTGTTGTACTGTAAGAAACCAAAAGAAACATTCCCATTACAAACTCTTTGATCAACCTGGGACTCATCCATCTTGAACTGGATAAAGAGCAGTAGTACCAAAATTCTGGAATTAGGCTTTCGAGCCTAGGATCAATGCTTCTGAAATGATGAGCATGTTTAGAAAAGCGATTATAGCTTAGGGTGGAGACAATCATTGTTTTTTACTGACAAGGACATGTATTTTCCAAAATACCTAAAAAAGGCTTTTTTTTGCAGACACATTAATTACAACAGCTTAAGTTACCCAGCTATCAAACCAAGAAACAATTATATTACCCAATTTCACCTGACAAAACTGAAAATGACAGTGATACTCTTTGGAGTCCAATAAGAAATCTGTGTGCAGTTAGCTCATGTCATAACCCAGAATGCACTTCTTGTCTCAGCTCTCCTGGAACAGCGTGGATACAGTGATCTTAGCAATGGTACCCACTTCCTTCTTCCAGTAGGAGTAAGAGTGCTGAGCCTCTTTGTCACCAGTCCCCTTAGTCACCGATCCAAAACTTCTGCATAAGGACTGCTCAATATGTCACTGTCAGTGCAAAGTTAGGATTGGGGTATAGATCACAGAGAAAATCTACAAGGCCATACATGGCTGATGAAAAAGAACATAGGTCACTCATTCATGACAAAACAAACAAAAACCTCTAAACCACGTTAAGTCATTTCACTCACAAAGTGAACCCTTTTCTTCCCCTTGCTTTGGGGTAAGACATGGTAACTGGACCACAAAGGAGTGTGTCCAAACCAATGGGTCTCAACCCAGGCTACATCAGAATAACCAAGGAGCATTTAAACATCACAAAGGCCTGAGCACAATCTAGATTAAACTGGAATGTCTGAGAATGAGGTCAAACATCAGTAATTTTTAAAGCTTCTTCAGCGAATTCCAATATACAGCCAAATTTGAGAACCACTGGTCTAGACGCTGTACTCCAGAGACCCTTCAGGCATGCCTCTCCCACTGCATAGGCAGTAACACCAACATAATGTGACACAGACCAAGAAACCTGGGGATGCAGGGGCTCCATGGGCCTCAGAACCAAATAGATTTCAATGAGAAACTCCATCTGCCTTCTTTATCTAGCAGTCCAAGTCTGCTCACATTCCAAGTTAAACTGGCAATTCTCCAACTACTATACTGAGTACTAATCTATTCCACAGGAGGTCCCAAGTAACAGAAGGCTTGGGCAAAGCTGAGTATTATACATGGGTTAAGAATATACGGTCCCTGGAACCTAATCATCGGGGTCTGCTTTAAAAAAAAACAACAAAACAAGATTGTGTGGTAGACTCATCCTGCTCAAGTACAAAACACTGTGCCTAAGGCAAATTAGCTATGATACTGGGCAAGTGCCTCTCAAGTCTCTAAAATGGGGACCGTGATAGCATTCACTTCACTGGATTGTTACAGGGTTTAAATAAGACACACAGACTTCACCAGGGATCCTAGATCTAACAAGAATAAGCACTCAATAAAATCTAGCTATTATTGTTTTAATAAGACTTCTCCTCTTAGAGATTCAAAGTAAATATTAGAGTATTAAAAGCAGTGCCACTGACTGGGCGTGGTGGCTCATGCCTTTAATATCAGCACCTTGGAAGGCCAAGGAGGGAGAATCATTTGAGCTCAAGAGTTCGAGAACAGCCTGGACAACACAGTGAGACCTCAGCTCTACCAGAAAAAAAAAAAAAAAAAAATTCACCAGGTGTGGTGGTGCATGCCTGTAGTCCCAGCTACTTGGAGGCTAAGGCAGGAGGATCACTTGAGCCTGGAAAATCAAACGTGCAATGGAGCTATGATCATGCCACTGCACTCCAGCCTGGGCAACAGAGTAAGACCTTCTCTCTTAAAAAGGCACTTCCATAAAAAAAATTTTTAAACATATAATCTAGAGTTTCTCAAACTCGGTCACAAAATCCTGTGAAATATATCCTGAAGGAGTACTGGTTTAAATCTATAACCTGCTACCCACATTTGGATCTCTGGCCACCATGCCAAAAGACAGGAGGCTGGACACTCCATCTGATGCCAGTGTTGCATATAGGGGCAGTGCAACTGGGGCCAGTATCTTTTGGAAGAGGACCAGGTCCCTCTCCTATTCAACATCAGAGTGGTATCTTTTCCAAAGCTTCAAAAATCCTAAAAGATATCAGGTGAAGTGAAAAAGAGGACCCTATCAAGCTCTGACATGGATGCAGCTGCATGGACTAGCTGCCTGGCATTAAGACAGAAGCTGGGAGATACTACAAAACAATAGTGTATGCCTGAGAAGTAAGAAAATATTTTTAAAAAGGTTAAAAGTAAAAGTGGGAAGAAATTATTTTTAAACAGGTTAAAAGTAAAAGCTACTGTGTTAGGGAAGTGAGACTTGGGGGTGGGAAGAGGTGAGATTATAAGGGTAGGAGGGAATATCTTTGAGCTTTTTATACATTTTCTCAAATGTTGCCACATCACTTTTTCCAATTATAAACAACAGCCCATGGAAATGTATGAGGCACAGTCATAGCTGCTAAGAAACTTCTGGTCTTTCTAGTCTCAGTGGGCAAAAGTGAAAAAAAAAAAAAAAACACAGGCAAAGGTGTGGGCATAGACGCTGGTATAAAGGCAATCAGAAACACAAAGTGGAACGTGGAGTACACAGCAAAAGGCACTGTTTCTTTATTACCTAGACAACTGGCTATGTATCCATCCATCCAACCCTGATTTATAACTTCTGCTTACAGCTAGCTCTCAGACCTCCCCAGTTCTGGAAGGCACCGTTTCTGTCTATTCTAGTGCCTTTTGCAGGGAGTGAATTTACGGGAGGCATGAGACACAAGCCTCGGGGACCCCCTGAGCTGAATCTGAGTCTCCCTTCAGGCTCCTCACTCCTAGCTGTTCTGCCTCGCTAGCTGCCCCAGGCCAGGTCAGAGCTGGGATGAAGTTGAGAAGCTGGGAAACTTGAAGTCTTTGCGCTTAACATCAAAATGTCCCTTGCACTGCACTGCACTGCTGGAAATGGGGACCATGGCCCTGACATCCACAGGTCAAGAAGGTGAATGGGGGTAAAATCTACCACATACCGATGGGGACCATGAAGGTGCACCTGAAAAGCAAGGTGCCGAGTGTAAAGCACAAAAGCCTTGGAGCCAGACACAAACCTGAAACCTCAGACTTCTCATCTGTGCAATGGGGATATAATAGCTATAATATTTGCAACATATGTGAATATTAAAGGAACTAATGCTCAGAAAGTGCTCGGCACAGGACCTGGCATATAAGAAATGTTTGACAGGGGCTGGGATTGGTGGCTCACACCTCTAATCCCAGAACTTGGGAGGCCGAGGAAGGTGGATCACTTGAGGTCAGGAGTTCAAGACCAGCCTGGCCAACATGGAGAAACCTCGACTCTACTAAAAATACAAAAATTAGCTGAGTGTGGTGGCACGCACCTGTAATCCCAGCTACTTGGGAGGCTGAGGCAGGAGAATTGCTTGAACCCAGGAGGCAGAGACTGCAGTGAGCCAAGATCACACCACTACACTCCAGCCTGAGCATAAGAGAGAGACTCCATCTCAAAACAAAATAAAACAAAAAAAAGAAGCGTTCATGTTCAATAAATTATAGCTAAAATGACCATTGTTATAGTTTATTATCATGTGAGATTCACTAGATCCTGAGGTAGAAGCAAAAGAACTTTCCTGCTTTTGCTATCCCTCCTGCCTAGTTAAAAAAAAAAAAAAAAAAAAGAAACACAAATAAGCCAAGAGCTGGGAACAAGCAGTGAAGCCAAGTGACTGTTCAAATCCCTGATCGTGGCCCACTCATAACCAGCTGCTCAGGGTGTGGGCCTCTCACCTGTGCCTGAAGGAAGGCAGAGAACTTGTGTCCACTGGGCACTGTGAGCAATGGTGTTGCTTATAGATGTGATCTCAGGTAATCTTTGCCTCATGATGCTGCTGGAGGTGGATTTAATTTAAATCATTTCACAGACAAGGAAATAGAAGCTTAGAGATGAACTGACTTGCCTGAGGTCATACATCCAGGAATAGTCCTGGAGTTAATAAAACTTGGATCTGTCAACACCACAGCCCTTGCGTTTGCTGCAAACATCAATCACACTGTCCCCCACAAGAAAATGTCTAAGCCTTTTCAACACCGTTAAACCAACGTTTTTTGAAAGTTGATTTGGGAAAGGAACAACAACAAAAAAACTAAACCATGTTTTAAAGCTTCTATGAAGTTAAATTGGAATTACGGACAAACATGATTCACAAACGCATCAGACAGAGTCCACAAAGGTTTCTATTTTGACGAATCTACCTCTGTGTTCAAGGCTGAAATGAACAGAGAAGGGCAGGCTGTCTTTGCCAAAGGAAATTGGGCACTGTCTCTACAAGGCTGGTGACTTGAAACCAAACTCTGACCATTGGCATCTGAGTGGCTTCACTGCTGCCAAGAGGTGGTGACTCTGTTTCTAAGAATACAAAGTACTACAGAAGGTGCCCTAGAGACCACAGCATTGAAACAAACAGACCACCCTCTCTACTTCATTCAACCTGGGTAGGTCAGGAATCCTTCTGTCCCCAAATCCAGAAGGCTGAAAGGAAGATATCTATATGTTGGGTTCAAGTTTTAATGAAATTAATCTAAAAATCATTTGGTGAGGCTCTATTTCCAGTCTTGCCAGTTGTCCTTATAAGGGAAGTGTGCTAAGGTGGATTATTTATTTGCTTCCCTCCTTCCCAAATAAATCCCATTTCTTCTCCAGCAATGGTGGTTTCCCCAAAAGTGAAGGTGGCACATAAAACAAAAAAGGGCAATTCTGTTCTACAGGGCACAAAACAAACACTCATAAAAGAAAACAGGCATTTGGAAGCAAGATATGAGCAGAAAAAAGGTGAATGTCAATGACTCACATATACAAGGCCCAAGACTAGATTTCCTCAATATCCAAAGCAGAGGCTAATTTTGACTTCTCCAA